ACCCATTGTACAGCGCTACGGAATCTGATGGTGCTATATAAATAATATAATAATAATAATAATAATCTAGCTATGGTATTGTTCGCTCCCACCATGTGAGGATTCGAAGGGTGATATTTACTTACCTTTCATCCCTTGCCATTCTGGTTTATGTCCTGCTGGAACACCTACTCGGCTGATCTGGGACAATTTTCTATAGGAAAGCATTAGGAGGCGAGTGTACATGTGCGGCAAAACGCTGCACTGCGCCAATCAGATTGAAATAGCTGAGTTTTAATTGGCTATTTCATAGGAATGTTACAACATCCAGAAGCATTTAAACCCTGCAAGTGAAACAATTTTACAGAACAGCAATATTTTCACTTGTAGGGTTAAAATAAGGGGGTTGTGACACACAGACCACTTAATTTAGATAAAGGGGTCTGGGTGCCTATAGTGTCCCTTTAAATGATAACATGATTTATCATAGTGGTGAATTATATATTTAAGTGTATTAGAAGCAGTTAATGCTCAACTACTATTCAGTGCATCTGAAGTTGCCTTTATCAGAGATCTGTGGGTCTCTCAGTATTGTAACACCCACCTCCTAGCAGGGTTGTATCTGCCTCCCCTTTCCTAAAAAAGCATGAAAAGCACTTGTTAGAAGAGTAATGTAAACAACAACACTGTAGTTGCTGTGATAGACAGAGATTAACCTGTAGGATGATTTCCCTGCTCTCCACTTTTATTGAATTATAGGTATAGCATTCAATCCAACTCTATACCAAAACTTGATTGACAGATGGGTAAGAAGCCTGTGAAAGATAAAATAAATAGAGTCCGGCTGGAAGAGGCAATGGTTCAGGTTGAGCTCCTGCTTGGGTATCTTGCATATCCTAGGTGAGGATTATTCACTTAAGCAATATTTATGAGTATTTGATTGCTCCCCAACATTGGAACATTGTACTTTCTTTACCTCAGACTGTATTATCTTTAATGCTATTACAATATTGCTGTTCATACTGTATTTTTCTATACTTCATAGGAGGCATATATCAGATTTCATACATATCCTAAATGGGATTGAGCCATGGATGCCACATTTATTGAGCACTAAGATGCTCAATGCAATGTGAGTTTTCATTTTTACCAATATCTATGTAAGATCTTGAAATGAATAGCTCAGGTGCAACTCCCTCACATCCCCCCAAAAGAGAATTTAGTTACACCTTCTAGATTAAACAGGTAAGCCTTATAGTTGAAATTTTGCCAGATTTAATGAGAGCTGTTCAGAGAACTCAATAAATACAGTAGGATTATTTTTTTTTGCCTGACAGAGACTAGAAAATGTGTAATAAATAATGAATCTGTTGAGATATACATTATCAATGTTGGGATCCAGCAGCCGGAGATAGGCTACCTAAATTAGAGTCGTAATTCTTGAACTCAACATAGGATTGATAAGAGAGGTATGTAACACAACAAATAAAAGAAAAAACAATAAAAAAACAAACCTGATTGTCAAGCTATTAGATTTAAAGGAACACACTGTATCCACTGTGAGGACATTATCCAGATATTTTTTTTTAAATTGCCTACATGTGTTCCCACAACTTAGTTGCCTCAATTAGAAGGTTTTTAAGTACATCTTAAAGAAATACCTCCAAGCTCTCTTGCCTTTGAGGGGAAGGGGAACTTAAACTAACTAGGGACGCTAATTCTGTAGCGTTAGGAATGCAGATATGTATCATAATGCTACAGTGTCCCTTTAATTTAACAGCATAAGAGAACATGCTAATTAAACTTATAACAGAAAGAGGTCAATGCTCCCAAATCTGTAAAACAAAATACTCTCAACAGAAAGAATAACCAAATCAAATGAAGATTATAAAAATGTAATGACAAAGATACTGGATTAAAATTGGAATTCAGGGCATCAAACATTCATATGACCTGTTTTACTTTCTCTGTTAATTCTTTTATCGTGCCATATGCCATTTTCAGCAATCAAATATTTTCATTACAATATTAATTGTCTAATGCAATCTTTTGTTTTAGTCAAGCTGCACGACTATGATATATATTGATATTGATATTGATATTGATAATTTAATAACCCAAGTAATTAAGAAAGTAAAAAAAAATACCAATATTAAATATATTTCAGTTTACAAACATTACTGAGGGTTATATTACTGAGAATCTCTGATAAACACTCATTTAGACCAAAAATTCTGAGCTGCTACGAAAGAGGACATAACAATGTGTGTACACAGCTTGGAAACAACTACACACATACCAGAACAAGAATCAATATTCAGTCTTTTTAATAGACCTGGGTGGATATCATAATCCAGCAAGAGACTCTATCAAATTATAATCAAGTGAAACTCATGTAAATGCACATTAATGATTCTTATTAAAAAATATGTTTTTTCTTTCTGTATTTATTTTTAAAATGCTACATTATTTAACCAGTTTTTTTTCTGTCTGAAATACTAACTTTAGAATTACGGAAAATCTGAGTTCAGAGTGTAAAATTCTGAAAGATTGTTTTATATTACATATCTTAATTACAAATAAAATAAATATACAATTTTTTACATCAGTTTGACTGAAATATGACAGAAATGCTGAGGCTAGTGGTAGAGCAAGGTCGGACTGGCCAGACGCATTTCTTTGCGATTTGACTGTAGACGGGTAGACGGGTCAGGTTACTAGAATGCAGAACAGGACAAGCTAAAGCTCACAGACAGAACAGTATAAAGAAACACAGACCATGGCAGCAATAGGTCTAGACAAAAGACTAACCAGCGCAACAAAATAAATGACGTAGCGTGAGCTTACAGGGGACAATCCTGACAGAAGCATGAACCTTCATATCCCCAACACAAGATTTCATGAGAATCCTGAGAATATGCAAAAAAAAAAAAATTGGTGTGTATTATTATTTTATTATTATTTTATTATTTATATAGCGCCATCAGATTCCATAGAGCTGTACAATGGGTATCACACCCTTGCATCACTCAATCCAGATATGTAACACACACCATTCACAGTGGTACTTAACTTTTATGTGACTGATGCAGCTTCCCATGGGGTTTTCTCAATTTACCACCCCTCTTAACAGCAAATGTACAAAATAGCTGAATACCAAAGTTAATTTAAGCTGATCCACTCAATGCCATATAAATAGTGGTATATCAAAAGGTACAAAAAAGCATCAGGACATAACGAATGTAACAGTTACAAAAAATATATGTTTATTCAAAGAAGAAAGAAAATATGAAATATCAGTGTGTCTGGGGCACATTTAATCAGTCTCCAATGAACTTTTTCCAAATGTCCCATATTTTATTGATCGTGTAGGAAATATTGTGTACAAGAGCTGTCATCTCATCCATTAAATGCATGGCATTTTAAGTGCAATTATAATACAGAATGGATTAGAAAATAATTGCAGGCAAATATCAATTAGTACTGTTTCTTTTCTATAACATGTTAATCAGTCTTAGGACTAGAGGTTTTCCCCAAAAATGCCATGTTCTCATTCTGTTTATTTTTATTGTGTATAAGGGAATGGCGAGTGATGCTGGCAAAATATCTAGCTCATTATCTCAGATTACATGTTCATTATTATTGACATCTACATGTTTAGCTTTCCAGTACAAGAATTGGCAAAAAACATTGTTTCCAATTGACAATTTTTATTTTTCATAAGTCAAAAGTCATAACATGAGGGATACAGAAAAAAGGAACAGGGGGATATAGGGAGGTACAAGTTGTATGGATACAAGCCATATATATACATATACAACACAACATTCTCAGAGCAAATGATTCCATGGTTGTTTACAGTGGGTTTTTGCAATTACAGTTTGTTATCTTACATTAGTTTTTTGGCCGTTCATAATTATTGTTATTTTATACGATTGTGTGTCATTTGTATCATTTGTGCCCGCCTGCCCCGGGGGGGAACCTTAACGTATGCGTATTCACAAGCTCGACAGTCTGGGCTGCAGGGTTCATAAAGGAAGACTTTGGTTTTTGTTATTACCTTCTCCACATCATGACATGACAGTGTGTATCGTACCTCGCTTTTTAGTGCTTCGGGGACCCGAACAGTTAGGCTACTCTTGCTGAGCACTGCGGTTCTCACCCGTAGCTAAACCCCTGTATAACTGAGTGTCATGGTGTTAGCAAGGCATTAGGGACATGGGGGTCAGAGGAGTTATGGTGTGTTGGTGGCTCTCGTCTAATGTGTTTTGGGTAGGCATATATCGCTTGGTCACCACATTATGCCAATTGGTACTCGTCGTGGTACCCTTTTACGTATGGCTTATGTGTTATTTAGTTCAGCGTTGGGCTGGGTCTCAGATGTGTATACTGGAAATCTTTTGTATGTGTTCCCCATAGGTCTTGTTCCTCTCGGACACCTTTGCGCGTACCAAATTGTGTGGATATCATGGCAAGAAACATTTTTAAAGGTGAAGTAAACCAATATTTGCTTTATTTACTTAATTTTCTTATTTTTGTTTGTACAGAATTCTGCCAGAGCCTACACTCTTTCTTAAACCAACCCTACTCTGATTAATGGCATTCATAGTTAGCATAGACCAAAAACATTTATTATGAAGATATCTGTTGAAATCCAACTCAAGTGGCACTCTATCCAAGTGTGTTATACCATGGAAACCTTGTGGTGCCGTTCAATCACAGAAATGACATCTCTTCTGAGTTCCAATGCACATGAAATGCTCACCACTCCTCTCTATTATTATTATTATTTTATAATTTATATAGCACCAGCAAAATTATGTAGCGCTGTACAATGAGTGGACTAACAGACATGTAATTGTAACCAGACAAATGGACGCACAGGAACAGAGGGGTTGAGGGCCCTGCTCAATGAGCTTACATGCTAGAGGAAGTGGGGTATATTGACACAAAGGGTATAAGTTGGGGTAATGAAATAGGTTGCTAGAAAAGAATTCACTGAGAACTATTTTTGACAGTTGCCTCATTCTGACATCATATATGACACTGAAACCTTCCAATAGTCTCCTTTTATATTGTCAATCTTTGTTGCAGTTTTTGATGATGTGCACACAATTGTGACATCACAGCTCTCTGTAACCAATCACAACCCAGAATAGGGAATATATACTTCCTGATTGTCTTTATTTCCTTGCCATGTCGTAGTTGTTACCTGAGAGTGTGTCTATGCTGTGTATTGGATTTACTGTTATATGACTGGTTTTTTGACCATTCTTCCTCTCTATCATCCTGACCTTGGCCTGACTATCGATTCTGTGTATCTCTGTTATTCTGGTCTCACTTTTACTCTCACATTTCATTTATCTGTCTCAGGAACCAGCCCTGCCACTCTAAGGACCGGCACGCGTCCTTTACTGTTTCTTACGGGTTTGCATGTGAGGGTATCCTAAAACATTGGGATGTGCACTGGATTGACAAAAGAACACACACAAGTAAATTATTGCAAATTTAGGAAATAGGAATTAGATCTAATCAGAATCCAGCTGAAATGAGAATATTGACATTATTCAATGAAGTGGATCAACAATAGCATTTCCTTTAGAAATACCACGTAATATTGTGCGTTAATAATGACAACAAAATAATATATATTTATATATGTTTTCTTGTATACCATTAAATAGTTACATAGTAATAGAAGACCGAAACAAACTGTATGTATATATAGATATATAATTATCATACATAATTAACCAGTATGCTTTCTCCATTGATCAAGAAGTTATTACCCTCACATTCACTGTAAAAAATACATACACCTATTTTTTTTATGAAAGGGACACCGTAGACACTGTAACCGCTTCATCTCTTTGAAGAGGCTACAGTGTTTGGAGCTAACCAGAGTCATATTTCGATTCAGTGTTAAAGTATTGTTTTAATGCTACATGAGAGTTATAAGGAGCTCATCCCCCTGTGCTGCTCATGCTAAGAAGGAAGTAGTAGTCTGAGCACCAATGAGCAGATGTGATTGGCAGAGAGTGTCAATTGACTGCTATCTGCCTGTCACAGTGCCCATTGAGGCATGAATCAATATGGCTAAAAGGAACTGTGAAATCTCTGCCTTAGCTACACTTGTGGGGGCGGGACTACTGGAAGCCAGGGAAGCCCATTCTGTGTTAGACTGTGGGAAAATGGTTTAACATCAAGGGTCAAGTCCTGGGAAAAAAAGTTGAAACTCACCCAAGATTTCCACAGCCCAGCCTCCCAATAAATAACATAATCAAATGCCTGAATGTATATATGCATGTATGTGTGTGTGTGTATATATATATATATAGGCTTTAGTTTTCAGGGTATGGGCAGTAATGTGGGGGATAGAGGCTTTAGTGTGAGGGAATATTGTGGGGGCAATATTTTGGTGGGGAATAGTGGAGCATTGTGGGGGGATACAGGCTTTACTGTGAGGGGATAGAGGCAGTATTGTGTTGTATTTTAGTTTTACACACAGACATTCTCACACGCATTCACATTATTGAACACACATATACTCTCAAAAACGATTTTCAGTAAATGCTTCTTTTTTTTTATCTTTAGGTCCACACAATCTCCATACCTTTAGGAGAAGTGGAGTGAATCCTCTTTCTGGGGTCCAGTGTAGGCTGCTCTGCTAGTGGCAGCGAGTGAGCTCTGATGCATATGTGCACTTCCTACTCAGCTTCTCACATGACCTGTAGTGATGCCTGGGCTGGAGTGACATCACATTCTGGTAGCCGGCATCACTATAGGGCACTAGGGAGCTGTGCAGGCTGTGGATCAGAGCTCCCTCACCACCCGTACTCCCCATGTACTCTGTACATTTAGACAGAGCAGGCAACTGCTGACCTATAAGGCAAGTACCTACTCTGTCTTAAAGCCAGCCCTGGTGATAGCTTCTTAGGCTAACGGGCACAGAGTGTGAATGTTGTTCCTGCTGGGAAAAATAATACAGGAATGCTCAAGGCCTGATCCCTACCCCGGAAATTGCTTTGAGTGCTAATAAAGTGAGTGCATTGCTGTAACCGAGCTGACAAGAAGGCCTGATGCTTGGAGGAGCCATGTATGTATCTGTTTCATGTAGGAATCCATGCAACTCTGTTACATGCATCTCTATGCTGGGTTATTGTGCATGATGCATAACAAACCTGGAAAATGCGAATAGGTTTGTAGATTGTGTATACACTTACTGGTCACTCGACTCCTGTCTTCCACGATGCTTAGCCAAACTGGATTATGCTGTGTGCCTCTTCTCCAACTGGCACTAGGCTACATTTCTTAACACACTCTGCCAACCTCATATACCTCACAAAGTGTGTGTGTGCTGTCTGTAATAATTAATAATTCCTCTTCTGCAACTGTCACTAGTCTAATACTATCCTTACCTTTATGTGTCAGTTTACCCCACTACCTCTAGCATGTAAGCTCATTGAGCAGGGCCCTCAACCCCTCTGTTCCTGTGTGTCCAACTTGTCTGGTTACAACTACATGTCTGTTCGTACACCCATTGTAAAGCGCTGCGGAATTTGACGGCGCTCTATAAATATCATAATAATAATAATAATAATAATTATCTGGGCAGCTCTGTGCCGCTCACACTCCTCTTTAACACATGATGTCACTACCCATGGAACAAGCTGCATGGGGCTGCCTTGATAAATGCTACAGGCAGCTTTCACACAAACACTGGACCATATGGCTGCGTTCTTTTCTCCAACAGGGGCTACATCCCAAAGGCCGACCCTGCAACGTTAACTGCTAATGGGAACGGTCTTCCTGCTGCTGAAAAAGTGCAGGAACCTTGTTCCCATTGGTTCATGCAGGACTCGAGCCCCTCTTAACAGGCAATATAATCAATTCAGTGAGATCAAATGGTTACATTCTGACAAAAGAGTCAAGCCAATGAAATAAATTTCAATTTGTCTATTTTTGCCTAAAAGTTTGCAAATCTCTCCAAATTCCCGGTTTAATTAATTATCATGTTCGGATCACATGTAGACAATTTTGCCTATAGTGTATAATGTCACTTAATCTTTTAAGCACTGAAGAGAAAAGCCTATATATGCATGCTTGTTTTTTATGACCTCATAAATTATTACGGAATATGAGGCTTCTAAAGGAAGTGATGCAAATCCCGCCAGCAGACCCCATGTTAAAGCCCATAAGTTTCATTGAAATGCTGACCATTAAGATATCTAAATGGTTAATGACATAATTTAGCTTAAAATAAGTTAGGTCTGGTACCCATCCTTCCATGTATAGACATTCTCATTACTCTCCTTTCTATAACCTCTTTTAAACTTTCACTTTCCAGACCCCCACTTTACACAAACAGACGGGGAGCTGGATTCTATCGGGATATCTATTTCCATGGGGGAGTTTGCATCCCACTGAAAGGTGAAGTTTTGATGGATTATTTCAGCAGAAGAATAAGACTGTCTTTTGTTTGAAGCCCATGTTTCCTCACGTAAAGTGTAATTTATAGAACATTTTAAGGCTAGACATGTTCTGGCTTTGACTCCTGCTCAGCAAGATTTGTCTTTATAAATTTTCAAGATGTAAAAAGGGTTTCCGTGTATAAATGAAAGTCTTTTTTCAAAGAATTGGTTGCATATGACAGGACGGGGGCATACACAGTAGTAGATATAACTGGATAAAATAAAAAAAAATTCAAAAAACTGTCTTCCAAATGAGAAATTAATGGTGTTTCTACCAGTTTGCCTAAATATCACTTTACAATTCAATGAGTTGAAATCCGATTAAATGTTGATATGTAATTATGTATATATGGAAATATGCGTATTGGATTACTTTCAACATTACTCCAATTTTTAACAGAAAATCCATCAAATCTGGACCTGTGGGGATTCGAATTGCTCTTGCTAAATTATGTAGACTGAATTTCTCTTTATTTTTTCTACCATGGATATTTTTGCCATTTTTGAAAGTGCCCCAGTATATGTTAATATTTCCAGAAGTCCCTAGGTTTTGTTCTATGTACTGCTAATTGTACATTCATTGCACGTTTTCAATCTATTTTAGTTTTAATTTAAAAAATATATATATTTATTTTAAAACTGATTACATTTGGATTACATTTCATGCTGTAACATAACATTTTGTTTTTTATAGTAATATTGTTAATTGATAATGTTTTAGTTGCAAGTTGTTTTTTTTTTTCTGTAAGCTTTTATAACTACACTTTGAATACTCTAAAGTGACTTTGCTAGAGATGTGGAAAACATGGGATGTGGAACATTGTCAGACCATGACTATGGACTTTCCTTCCTACAGTGGGTGCTTTACTTAGTGTTATCCTGACCTAAAAATAATTGGTTGAAATTTAAAGATAGTCTCACTTTTTTTTAACCAATTAAAAATGTTCATTTGTGTTGATGCTCTTTTTTTTATAGTCTTTGGTTAAAATGACAGCTGCCTTTTATTTAATGTGGCAAACTATTCTCCCCTGTGCTGGAAACTATAGTGTCTGCATCTGAAAATTCTAAGTTATAACCTACCCATTTTATCTATTTATTACTGGCATCTATGAAGTGATAACATATTCCGCAGCGCTGTACAATTGGGGGGGAACATACAATATACACAGACAAATACAAAAGGCTTCTCTCGGTGCTTCTCTCTGTGTTTCCTATTCTTTCTATAGAATAGCAACCTAAACAGATAATAAAGTAAATATAACTCCAAAAAAGGGGGTTACTGTTTTTACTATATTAGTTTAAACTGGTAGGTTTCAGATTGAGGCACAGACATGTCATAGACACGCAGTCATATACTGTACACTGACAGAATAAAGCAAGTCAAAACATACATACATAATCATATGCATAGTGCACACACATACATAGACACAGTCACATACATACACACAGACACAGTCACACAAAAACATACACACAGTAACACATCAAGATGCACAGTCAGACAGACACAGAGACACACGTACACTATGTCACATACAGACACACACAGTCACAATTACAAGCACACATGATACACACAGTCACAAGCACATAATCACAAGCATATATACTGTCACACACAGTCACACACACAGTGACACAAAACAAAGGACACTGCACTCTTGCATCAGAATCCAGGTGCTCCAGACCTGGGGCTGGCAAACTCCAATTGAGCAGATAAGAAGTAAATCAGGGCCAGGCACTCAGGATATCTCATTACCCGGCTTTATTAGAACAGAAAGAGCAAAGTTTTGGCCTATGCAGAGGCCTCTGTCAAGCACACAGTAGCAGGCACACAGTCACACAACCACTGACAGTCACAAATAAAGGTACACACAAAGCTAGGAAATCTACGTCCTACCCTGATGAGCAAGGAGACCAGGAGCAGAGGTCTGAGAACAGTCCCTGGTCACAGGTGTCTAGTGGTTGTGGGAACAGGGACAAATTCCTGCGTCCCTGTTGACATGCAGCAATTACCAGGCAACAGATTTAGGCAGCCTATAACTCAACCCCCACTGCCTGTATCAGTATTGCAGCAACATCTCTGCTAGGCCCCTGGTAGAGGATAATGCTATTTTCTATACAGGTCCTGCGCCACCATGCTAGAAAGAGTGACAGATGGGACAGTGGAGTGTTGCGTACTGTATGCACTCTACTGCTATCAGGTCTCATAATGCACT